AGTCTGGCAGAACTGTTAAGATGAACCAATATTTTTGTTTATTGTTGGGGGGGCCTTGGTTTTATAAGTGATCTTGCACTGTGTGATAGCACTGTGGGTCTGAAGTCATCTAGAAAAGTAAGAAAATTAAGGAAGGAAACCTCTATTTGCTCATGGCAGTATTTAGTCTAAACCTGCCTGTTAGCAAGAGACTGCATTTAAGATAGTCAGTGAATTAATCTCTCTTCCACAACAGGTCATATCCAACAACAAAGAAATGGTAACAGGCTTGAAAGCAGGGAAATAAAACATACCCTAGCTGGAACTGCTTGGCTTCATGCAAAATCATTCACTATATGAATGCTAGTTTTAAGCTTTTTATGAAAGTATTTCCATAGAGCTATTCTATGGGTGAATTAGAACATGCCACCTCACTGCCTTCCTGCCCCCAGAGAGCTGCAAGGTATGCACAGCTCCACTGGGTTTGGCAAGCCTGCTCTGCAATACAGACACTTCCAGGAGGAAAGACAGAGGAAACTTTTCTCACAGACTGGTTCAAGATGGGATCAAGATGGTTATATGCAGCTCTGGGTGCAGTGAAGTCAGAAGCAGCAACCTATGGGACAAAAAGAACAGGCAGAACCACAGAGGAGGAGGTCCTGAAACACCCAGATAGTGTCACAGGCAGAAAGCCTGTTCAGCTCCTGACAGCCCTATGCTGAGAGAGGGAGAAAAAGGTTCAGGTAGAAGAGGCTGCATCATGAGGGTCCAAATCTGTATTTTTCTAGGATCGGATCTCCTTCTTAGGACAGGCTTAAGCTACAATGGGTCATGACTGGGCCCTATGCAAGTGCTTAAGTGCAGATAAGAAGTAATCTCCAATCCTTCCTTGCTTCAAACCATGATAGTCCTAGTCCTGATGCTGAGGGTCTGTTCCCTCCTGCAGCTCCCAGCAATGCAGAGCACCACAGACAGCATGATGCCCTTAACATACATTTTCTATTAATTTCGCTATCAGGTCAGCCTCAAAGCTCTGGGCCTGTGAAACACGTCTAAAGCTCTGGGGTTAGCCCTGGGCTCTCAAAAGCCCAATCCAGACCAAAGATTTTATGAAGTGTGGATAAAAAGGGAGAGTTTTCTAGTCAAGGTTCTCTTTAGTGAAACCTTATCACATAGAAATGCAGTGCCCTCACCCTCGGGCAAAGGCTTCCCAGCAGACAGTGAACCTGGCAGTGGGGTGAGGGCTTAGAGAAAATGAGTAAAGAGAGTCCCCTCTTGTCATCATAATTTCTTAGGTAGTAGGGCAACACATGTGCCTCTCCTGCTGCTATTCCAGGAGATGCACTGTGAGCATGAGATCGAACAGGCACAATTAACATTTACAACAAGGAGGGCTCCTGCAATTCCTGAATTTTTAATATCAGTGGCTACAGAACTGGAGACCTCTTACGCAGAGCTGAAGAAAATGAGACACGGCTAAGTAAGCTCCATTATTTCCAGCTACAGCCCTGTGAAACACTGATAATTAGTTTACAAGCATGCAGAGACTAGAGAGCTATTCATCCCCTTCAAACTGTCTGGTGCGGTGCAGTGTTTCTGCAGAACTCTAATGCTAATCCCTATCTTCGGGATTGAAAATCACCTGTTTATAAGTTTGAAATGTGGCTCCCACTTTTAATGCAAAGCAAACAGCACTTGGAATGCATGAGCACTCCCTAGGGACTCATGTTGTCCTGATCAGTGCATCTTAGAGGTCCACAAAAGGATTTTTAAAAAGCCAGCTAAAGGGGGTGGTTAAATCTCTTTCAAGTTTGGGTATTATCCCGTTATAGAAATCTGTCTTCAGGAAAATTATACTAATGTGTTGTTTGAACTTCTTCAAATCTGAAAGGTCCAGGTTCAAACTGTAACAAGTTGGCAAGGTTTATTCACAGAGAAGTATCCAAACCCAAAAGGTTGAAGCACACTGTTACTCCTGACAAGTCTGCAGCACTCAGCCTTCCACACAGGGCTCCCTCTGGTGCTCCAGCCCGCACAGCACCGAGGGACGGCGGCACTGGGAACTAACAGAGCTGCAGGACAGGCTGATTTCTTGGTTAGCTGATATTTTTTAAGAAAGGAAACTGTTTTGGATCATTGTTACCCTCCTGGATTTTAAACGAAAAGTAATAGAAAAAAAATTACTAGGAACTGAACAAAATGTTTTCTTTCTGAGAGTTTCAAAGATGTTTTAAAAAGCATTTGAAAATAAATAATCATTTTGAATTTAGGAAAAAATATGTATTTTTCCTTGAGGTTCCCTTTCATTTTTTTTAACAGCATACTTGGCTGAGAAACTTCACTGATCAAAATGCACTGAATGTTTTGGTTAACTCATTCAACACAAAATTCAAAGAGAAAGCTGGACTCAAAAATAACCAGGTTCACATAAATTGCAGGAAGCAGAAAGTCTCTTTGCATCCTGCCAAAGTGTAAGGAAGCTGCCCTGCCGATCTTTTTCTGAAGCATAGTCACGCTCTATGCACCAGTAAGGGACTTAGGATGTCCTGAATCAGCAGCAGGGCTCTCTCATTTTCCCTGCAGCTGAACGTTATCTTCAGAGAATTGACAACAAGCATATCACATCAGATCCTTAAAATGAGTGAATTGTGATTAAAAAAACCTATTGTTTTGATCTCCAGAACTTTCTACCCACTCCTGGGCAAATTATTTAAGTTAACAACAAGAAAGGCAGAAAAAGTGCTTAATTTTCCACTGTAGCACACTTTGCTTCAGAAAGTGCTTCAGAAAGAATAGCATTGATAGTGCCCCTGGGAAACTGTAAGATTAAATACAGCAAAGAGTGAGAGACCTTTGCATATAATGGTACTATGGCCCTGTAAGTACTGGTGAGAGACAGAAACACTGGAGTGACAGACACAGAAAGATTTGACTGTGTTTAAATATTTTAATATAAAATAACAAAGACACCCTCAGGGCAAGTCTGACCCCACTGTGCTGCTTCCAGGATTTTCTGAAGCATCTGCCTCATTACAGAGCTCCCAGGAGGGTGGGTGGTAACTGGCAGAGATCCTCCTTGCTTTTGCATTATTTTTGGCTATGGCATGTAATTGAAAAGGAGTTGAAATGCCTTAGTTGTAGCCTGAGCTTCCCCTTCATGTATTTGCACATGATTAATGAGTAGCCAAAAAGCCTGAAGGGTTTGTAATGAAGCCTTTCTAACAGGGAAATGTATTGTAGACAAATCCATATTTTGTCCCAAACAATCATTCATCAAAGCTGCGATTTGACTTTTCACAATTAAATGCCAGAGCACCCAGACCATCCTGAGATTAGTCAGCTGTAACCCACGCTCTTCTCTGCACTCTGGCTGGGAGGGACATTGTTATCCCTTTCCAGGGAATCAGCCTATTTCCTTTGTCACTAGCCATAATTAGCAACTGTATTTGATGGCCTTCAGTTACAGAGATAGTTCACCAAACCTGAGACTACAATGGTCTACGACTCAAACAGGCCTCATTCAACAGAGCATGTAGCATATGCTGAGCATCAGTATGAGTCAAAAGTCTCACCAGAACACCTACGTGCATTTTTCGAGTCCATCTGTCCCACAGCATGGATAGAGAGATAAGGTTAGAGTATCTAGAGTCTGTCCTTGAAAGCACAGGAGACACTTACCAAGGCCTGGTTTAACATGTCATTAAGCAGCACTGACACAGACCCTTGCTACCATCTGCCCTGCAGGTGATGTGCCAACTGCAAGCAGTCCTGGCAAACTGGGGAGCCCACTATGTTCCTGAGGTCCTGGATAAAACAAGACTCTTAATTATTTGCTTCAAATATTTAATATTTCAATAGCATCCAGAGCCCTAATCTCAAGTCCATGAAATAGGATGTCAATGCAACCTGTCAACAGATGCCATGCCTGTAAAGAAGGCAACCTGTTGGTCTGGTAGAATAAGAACAATTTTGGATAGCTTCATTTAGTACAGTCCCTGAGTCGAGACCCACAATATGTTTTGCTCAGGTCCTCAAACAGCTGATGGATAATAACACATTTCATTCAGTTTCATTATATGCTGAGCTCAAATTAATATCTAGGGATGGAAGATAGAAAATTTCTCCCACTTGTAATTTCATCCTGTAATGCAATATAGTGTTACAATGCAATCATAGAATCATAGAATGGTTTGGATTGGAAGGGACCTTAAAGATCATCTAGTTCCAATCCCCCTGCCATCAGCAGGGACACCTTCCACTAGACCAGGTTGCTCAAAGCCTCATCCAACCTGGTCTTAAACACTTCCAGGGAGGGGGCATCCACAACTTCCTTGGGCAACCTGTTCCAGTGTCTGACCACCCTCACAGTGAAAAACTTCTTCCTAATATCTAATCTAAACCTCCCCTCTTTCAGTTTAAACCCATTTCCCCTTGTTTTGTCATTAGTTGTCCTTAAGAAAAGTCCTTCCCCAGCTTTCTTGTAGCCCCTTCAGGTGTTGGAAGGCTTCTATAAGATCACCCCGGAGCCTTCTCTTTTCCAGGCTGAACAGCCCCAACTCTTTCAGCCTGTCCTCATAAGAGAGGTGCTCCAGCCCTCGGATCATCCTGGTGGCCCTTCTCTGGACTTGTTCTAACTGGTCCATGTCTTTCTTATGTTGGGGGCTCCAGAACAGGACGCAGTATTCCAGGTGGGGCCTGGAATTTTATGCCTAGGCATAAAATTTTATGCCCAGGTGGGGCAATAAAATAACCTTGTCAATTATTACAATTTCACCTACTCAACATACTTTCAAGAAGAACTTTCAGAGTTTCAGCTCCGGAACTGAAAAGTCCTGACCTTAAAAAAACCCAACCAACCAAACAAAAAACTTCTGAAGAGTCCAACAGTCACATGTTAATTTATAACTAAGCGATTATTTTGTTTTTAATTAGGGAGTAGCAGCCACTGCTTTCAACGGCTTTACTGGAGTTCCCACACTTCATCCACAGAGTCTGGTGTGTCTATCTGTCTCTCAGTGAAGATGGCCAAGGGGAACGCAAAAGGTCAAAAAGGGAAGAAGATCACCTTGAAAATTGCCAAAAATTCTATCCGGGTAGCTTTTGATGGAGGGCTCCGTCTTGACTTAAGCAAGATGGGTATCACCACCTTCCCCAAGTGCATTCTGAAACTGACTGATGTGGACGAACTTGATTTGAGCAGAAACATGTTAAAAAAGATTCCAAGCAGCATTGAGAACTTCCAGAAACTGCGCTGGCTGGACCTGCATAGTAATCAGCTTGAGGAGCTGCCCAAGTCAATAGGTAAGCTTCAGAACCTTTTCTACCTGAATATATGCAACAACAAGCTGACCACAAAAAATCTGCCAGAAGAGCTGAACCTTCTCAAGAACCTGCATATTCTCAACCTTGGCTTGAACTGTCTCGAGAGTATTCCCACCAGTCTTGGGGCCCTGAAGGAACTTAGGGAGATAGGTCTCTTTGACAATGCCTTGACCACCATCCCAAACAGTGTGAAAAAGCTCCCCAAGCTCAAGAAACTGAATACAGAAAGAAACCCTTTCCCAGATTCAACAAAGCAAGAAGAGCAAACCGACTCCATCAAACGCATAGAAACACTTTACTTAGCAGAAGAGAAAGACCTTTGCTATTCCTGCCTGAAGAAATGTCAGGATGAGAGGGACAAATTGAAGAAGTTAAACAACATGACACCCAGCCCCTCAAAGAAGCCAAGTTTCTCCTTACTCCTTACACCCAATTCTGTTGCAATGGATAATCAAGAAGAATGGAGACTAAGCAGCAAACATTCTTGAAATCTCCCGAGGCACTCCACACACCATGTCCCATGAAGTCCAGCTGAAGCTAAGAAGAAGCTAACCACCTCCCTCCTCCCTTTTCTCGCAATTCTCCTCCTTTAAAGGTCTACTCAGTTTTAGAAGCAGCTGATCTGTGTGGTCTCTAAAATGAACTCCAAAACAACTAAAACAGATGTATATTTAGGAAAGGGTGCATTTGAGAAAGGAAGGACTATTCCCTAGCATCTGGGCCTATTCCTACATGTTCTCCATGTTTGTGTTTTTGAGGGTTTTTTTGTCTTTTGTGTGTGCATGTGTTCAGTGAAGAAATCTTCAAGAAAATAAGTTTTTCATAGAATCATAGAATGGTTTGGGTTGGAAGGGACCTTAAAGATCATCTAGTTCCAACCCCCCCTGCCATCAGCAGGGACACCTTCCACTAGACCAGGTTGCTCAAAGCCTCATCCCACCTGGCCTTCAACACTTCCAGGGAGGGGGCATCCACAACTTCCTTGGGCAACCTGTTCCAGTGTCTCACCACCCTCACAATGAAGAATTTCTTCCTAATATCTGATCTAAACCTACCCTCTTTCAGCTTAAACCCATTTCCCCTTGTTTTGTCATTAACTGCCCTTATGAAAAGTCCCTCCCCAGCTTTCTTGTAGGCCCCTTTCAGGTATTGGAAGGCTGCTATAAGATCTCCCCGGAGCCTTCTCTTTTCCAAGCTGAACAGCCCCAACTCTTTCAGCCTGTCCTCGTAGGAGAGGTGCTCCAGCCCTCGGATCATCCTGGTGGCCCTCCTCTGGACTAGTTCTAGCTGCTCCAGCTCTCTCTTGTGATGGGGGCTCCAGAACTGGACACAGTTCTAGTGACTCCACTCCCATCACTGATCCCCAAATGTTAGTCCTGTTCATTTTCATAGGGTGAGATACAGTTAAACTAGTCTCAGAAAATACCATTTGGAGGAACAGGAACAGACATGGGAACTTTTTGCTACTGGTGGCTGCCACCAACCCCTCAGAGAATCTGAGAGAGGCACTGTCAGTTGTAGGAACCATGAGCCCATTCCAGTTCAGCAGAGGCAGCAGACACAAATCACGCTCAGGAGTAACTAAGCAATGCAAACACAATGCTTAGAGCTAAACAACCAGTGACCCTGTTTGCCGTCAAGGGGCCAGACTGTGCATAAACAAGTTATCTGTGATTTTGGGTGCCACACCTGGGTGCAGTGATCTCTAACTTGCATGGCACCATCAGCATCAGTACCTGTACTCATTGTGTTTTGTCTGCCTCTGAGTCTCCCTCCAAGGAAGGTACAGAATGGGAAAGGGGTAGGGAAAAGATTCCTCTCTAAGGGTCCTGGGTATATCACTTGAGCAGTGACTAAGAGAAGAAGAGTCACCCCCTTCCATGATCCAAGAGTCAGCTGGTGAATTGATGACATAGGTCTGGTGTCCCCACAGTATTTTTAGCTTCCTGTTCGCATGTGCACCTGAGCACATGTGCTTAAATCACATCCCTAGGGCAGAGAGTACTGGCAGCCTGCAAACGGCAATATACAGGTACAAGCAATGAGCAGATTATAAAATCAGTCAAGCATGACATGAGAAGAGGTGCTGGCTGTGGCCATAGTAACATATGGTGACAGCAAGCATTTCAGTTTATTTAAATGAAGAATCAAGTGCCAGAGGCAAAGTACTCAGTTGCCCAGTAACAGCCCATTATCATTTATTAAATAGCTGCAGTAGAGCCTGGGAGTCAGAACTCCTGTGTATTATTCCTATGGACAAGATGCAAAACCTGATATACTACTACCTCAACGTCATATGATACATCATATTAGTAATTTCTTCTTTCTGTGCTTCAGCTTTGCAATTATTAATAGTATGTCTGGGAAAAGTGCTTAGTTTGGCCTTAGACAGTGCCTCCCTGTCTCAGGTAGGGCAGGAAATGCTGGGATGCTATGGAAGATGGCCATTGCTTCCTAGATGGGAAGGAGCCCCTTGTGCTGCTCTTTAATTCTTCTAACTCAGAAGCAGCTCCAGCATTCAAACAAGGGAAAAGTAAACTCATCAAGTCCTCAGTTCTTTGGTTCCCTGACTGGAGCCTGGTAAAGAGAAGCATGCCCACAGAGGTAATTTCCTCTAACTTTCCACTTAAGCACAACTTTTCTGGCATCATTACTTAGGCAGTGGAACTATATTTTGTCTATTTTATTTCATATAATGCTGAAAGGGGCCAGACTCTGCATAAGAAAGTTATCTGGGATTTTGGGTTCTATACCTGGGTGCAGTGATCTCTAACTTGCACAACACAATCAGCGCCACTATAACGTGCCAAAACATCCATGTGTACATCTATCACTGTCTGTTCTAACCACACAATAATGAAGCCATTGCACAGAAGCATTATGGATTAGCTCTAACCTCACCTCACTGACTGTCTCTTTCTCACACTAACCATTTGTGTAGAGTTTACCAATAAAGTCATATTAAGGAGGTAATAGTTATTAATCAACTATGCAGAATCATTACTCAACATGTTCTTCATGTCTTCATACTATGTATGCTGCACACTAGAATATTTTTCAGAGTTCTGGGGACACCTTTGAATCTTTAAAATAAGGGGCACAAACAGGTAAGTTTCTAGATGCTATTTTAAAGGTGCAATTTATTCACACAATTCCACTTGTTATCCAGTTTCCTATGTTTTACCTTATATTCAGGGACTCTTCTGTTATCCCCTTCGACTTCAAAGCAGGTTGGAAAGAGCAAAATCTATAGGAGATATGAAAGGTCACATTACAATTGTTTAAATGTTTATCTGTATACATTACATACGTTTATAATATATGTCACATCCTGACAGCAACTTCTCCTGAAGGACATCCCAGCATTTTACTGAGACTCTAACTCAGGACAAAGCTGCAAGATAACACACCAAAAGCATACATTTAATGTTAACTAGTTGCCTATGGGCTGGATAAAAGCAGTTTCTTTCCCAAACAGAGCCTTGAATTTATAAGTATATACAGGGTGTGGACTTATGATTGGGTGGTTTAAGGTGCTATTAATTAAAGCCAGGGAATGACAACCGACTCAGATATTTATTTAGCAAAAACTGCAGAAAGGAATACCAACCCATGTCTCAGCCATTCCTATTTACTTTCACTGGGGATTTATAACGTCAGATATATTAAACCCTTGAAAGGCATATGTTTGGTGACCTTCAGCTAAGGGGCCATATAGGCAGCTGAGGATCAAAACATTATCTTGAACTGTCTGTAAGATTTCCCCAAGAGATATTTGTCAGAGTTGAGAGATAGGAAAGATAAGGGTTTAAACAAAGCAGCTGGCTCTGGGGCAGAACCTGGTGATTCTAAGTAGCCACACTATGCAGTCAGTTTAGAAAGGAAGAACAGATAAATCTGCACTGACTTTTTAAGCAATACTCCATTAGAAACTGTTCAGAGGTTTCAGGAGCAGAAGGAACTACTACGATTGTTTAGAAATTAACAGTACCTATTCTCAGTCCAGGCTGCAGAACTTACCACAGGAAGTACTACTTATTGAAGTACTTTTCCTGTGTAAAGAACAGTAAAAGTAAACCTGATATAATGCTCAGAACTGCAAGAGGAAAAAAAAATGTAGGAAAACAAAGCACAAATAAATCACTTCATAGTCTTACATTCAAGTTCCATCAAACAAGACAAGCACATTAGGAGAAGTATTTTTTTTAAACAAAAATTCCATTGTTAAAAGTCACCTCCACACCAAAGATAGGAAGTCGGGGTCAGAGAGACAAAACCATTTTATTCCTAAAGAATCTAACAGCAGTTCATGTGTTGGAAGAACACAGGAAAAAACCTTCTTTCACCCAGTAGTGTGAGGTGAGATGGAGGCGGCTCTCATCTCAGTGAGAGGAAGCATCACAACTACAACTGCAGCTCCCTGGGATGCAGGGACATACAACACCCCCCTGGGTGCTAGAGGTGCCCTACACTTATATTAGCTCTTTTGACAGATCAATGGCTACATAATGCTCTGAAGAATTCACAGGTCAGCAAAAGGAAAATTCCATAGCTTTCCTTAAGTGTAACCCACTGAAGACCAAGGAGCTGTGATTGAAGAAGTCAACCCAACCCTGGGGCAGCCCAAGACAGACATCTGAAGCCAGGATAAATAGGTGCAATAGACCAGGGCTGTCACCTGGGTGTTCACATGTTATTATCAAGTAGTGATTACCTCTTAAATATCTTATTTCGGTCGCTGTCATGGAAGACAAGAAATCTGGAGTAACCATTTTTGAAGAATATTTCCAAGGCGATCTCCTGGAAAGGTAAATAATTTACAGGGTGAAGAGCTGCAGAGTAAAGCCTAGTTCTTTAAAGGGTCCATCATGGTCTGTTCAATTCTTCAGGGCTTTTTTTTTTAAAAAAAAAGAGGTCTTGACTTTGTATCAAGTGTGAAGAAGTGTAGCAAAATAATATTCCACATTTCTCCAATTGTAGGAATGGTCTTACTGGGTTGATAAGGAGTTCAAATGCTTCTCTAAGGCAAAACCAAATTCCAGATATTGCTTCCATCACCTGCTTCCTCCTGCTGCTGTTTATCTTGAAATCTCAATGTGATTAACAAGACATTAGTAGCATTCACTTCTAATTAAGTGAGAAAGATAACATGAAGAGGGGATGCTAAACAAGAGTTTATTCTAGAAAGCAACCATGCTGCTTTCTAAATGAATAGTGAGCTCAAAAGAAATGTCAAAATAATTTCTCCTGACTAGCAGCAGCAGAGGAAGAAAGGGAGTTTATGACATTTCTCACTGAAGCTTTACAAAACTTTGCCTCCTTTTTCCCCGCAATATCTCCACACATTGTTATGTTGAAC